TCCATACACAGAGCTTCAGGCTCAATGTTTCATTATTTATATCCCTGGTGTCTTACTGGTCATATTGCTCTTCTTTGAAAGAACTTTCTAAAGTATGGGCAAAGAAGGACATACAACATCTCAGGCTTTGCAGGATAAAATCAGCTTGTGTGAAGCTGAAGCGCTGGATTCTGATGACTAGTAATAGACCAAGAGGAATTCTTGGCAAAACTCCCTTGGAGGTGAAAGTTGAGTCATATTTAAACTTCTAAGCAAATTGTCTTGAATTCCATAGTTAAAATTGGATAGTGTGTCGTGGATATTTGCCATCCCCAAGGCCATTTGACTGTGGGAAGCACACAATGAATGAAATGCCTGGTGAGTGTGCAAAGGCACACGACAAAAAACATACTCAGGGACGGGTGAGATGGTGTCCAACCCAGTCACTTACGCAAATGCCTCTCGCATACTGGGTCAGCTTTTGGGCAGCCATGTGTCTTAATATGTCACTTTGTTTAATCATGTCATTTACAGGATATGAAAAAAAAGCCTGCCTGTGAATTAAGCCATCACCGTTACCACCAGAAGTCATGATGTTACTATTAAAAACACAACTTCTAGAAAAGTGTTTTCTGAGATTACACCTCTTCTGAGTACTACCCAGAAAGGATTCATGCTTGAGCCAGCAGAAAAAATGAAGTTAGATTGTCTGTATTGCCATATTTTCTTGAATACAAACTTTTTGAACCCGTTACTGCTGGTGTAGAATTCTAACAGTCTAGAAAACTGGAGTTGCGGAGATTTATGGGTTTTTTGTTGATGTTTCAGTCAGCAACAGAGAAAATTACCCCAGTTCTTGGAATGTGTTTTAATGGCTTGTGAAGGTCTCAGTGTCCTTGAGAAAAATAAACTCGTTTTATCTTCTTGTATCATCTCACAGTTCTCCTTCTGAAGTCTGTGACCAGTTGTGATCTTTCCCATATTCCTTAAGGAGCACACAATGAATAAATTATCCATAATGGGTTTTAGAAGACATGTCATGGGATGTTTAAAGCCTGGCTCCTCGGCCAGAGCAGTGCTTTTTCTACTAAACCGAGGGGCTGAATCAGCTACCAAACACAGACCTTTGAGGTTCCTTTAGACAGATCATTAGCACCTTCCTGGTTTTCTCTCAGGGGGATCCCTGCTTCAAGAAGGAATGTTTGCCCATCCAAGTAGAAATGTTTGAAGAGCAGAATTCTCGTTTCTTCTTGTTAATTTATTGTGTATATGCCTGGAGGGAAAGGTTTGATGGCAGGTCTCTGGAAGTTTTCTTTTTGGAGGTTTAAGGCTGGGCAGAGTAGTAGGCACAGTGACTGGGAGTGATTGGGACTGCTACAGTCATTCTTCAGATGATTATTTACTTCCTTTCAATGTGAATTAGGAATAAAGCTCAGTCTGGGAACTTTTGCCAACATAGCATTTTTATTTTCATTTATTTCATGACTTTTCTTGAATGACAAGGACTTAAAAACACAAGTATTACCTTCCTGCTTCCAACAAAGCTCAGCATCAACATATGATGAATTTTTATTAGTTGAAGCAATTTTTTTTCCCCCTTCCACAGCATCAGCAGCACCTACACTTGAGGTGGTGACTTGCTTAGCTTGGCTATCCCAGTATGGAATCTCCCTTTTGGGAGCAAGGCCAGGATGGATTGCCCTCTGGCAGCACCAGGATCCTCTGTAAAGGACAGGTGATGAGCTTGGAATGGATATTTAACTTGTAGGGAATCGAGCTGGTTGACAATGAACCTTGCCCTTTGGGACCGTAGATTTTATGTAGACGCTGAGATCTGTCACATCCATAAACTTGAAATTTGAAATAAGTGATCTGGGATTAAATTCATGTGACCACCTGTACTCCACTGACTGTGGAGGGGGCCTAGCGTGATTAGCAGTGACAAAGGGTTTGCTCTCTGTATATCTAAGGTAAAGTTACCTTTTTTTAAAAAAAAGAGATTTGCATAGTGGTTTTTTTCCAGGTATCACACTTCTATCACCCTTTCCCTCTGAGTCTGCAAGTGCTTCCCGAACTGTTATTGTTGCTATTATCGTCTTAATTTTACAGATAGAGGTGCTAAGGACAAGTTGGTTATCTTTTTGCCAAAGATTTGTGATGAGTTCATGCCGCGACAGTGAAAGTTTCAGTCCCAAGCCCCACCACTCTCTCTTCACCCTTCTGATGTTTTGGCACTGAGATGAGCTTTTCTTACACTTGGAAATGCAATGCATTATTTCACTCAACAATTTTTTGTTTCAGAGTTTTTGTTTGGTGTTCTTTTAGTGAATCACTTAGCCTAGCAAGAACCTGAGGCAGATTGAAAGATGTGTTTGATTCAGGAAGAGCTTGTCTGCCTGAAACCCAGAATTTGCTGGAATGGTTGTTGATGCTTCAGCTGGCACTGCTAGCACCAATCATAGACTGGTTTGGTTTGGAAGGGAGCTTAAAGATCATGTAGTTCCAATCCCCTGCCAAGGGCAGGGACACCTTCCACTAGACCAGGTTGCTCCAAGCGCCATCCAGCCTGACCTTGAACACTGCCAGGGATGGGGCAGCCACAGCTTCTCTGAGTAACATCTTCCAGTGTTCATCATCCTCACAGTAATGAATTTCTTAACCTACTCTCTTGAAGTTTAAAGCCATTCGCCCTTGTCCTGTCACTGCTTGCCCTTGTAAAAAGTCTTCATTCAGTCAGTTTTCTGTGGGATTGGAGTTTGGGTTAAAACAAAGAAAGGTTGTCACTTTGGCACTGCAAAGATTCCTTGTGAACAAAGCAGCGAGCTTCTTTTCCTGCCAGTCCGGCCTTGCAGCTTTTCAGCTACAGAGGGGCAGAATGGTGAAGCAGGATCTGCATGTCAGTGAGCCGTGAAGTCTGCTTTCCAGCACACTGTTTACCTCACAAGAGGGCTAATTTCAGTACCTGCTTTTGAAACGCTTAACAGGGAATTTATTAAGCATAGGCAATGCCAAGGCGGTTCTGAAAATGCTCCTGGGAGACCAAAGGGAAAGCTTCTCTGCTTGGATCTTAGATGAACCTTTACTCGGATGTTTAAATGCCAGGGGATAGATACCGGTGCAGAGGTTGTCAGGTCTATTAAGGAATTGTTTATTTTAGGAACTCATGGTCACAAAAAGCTTCAGGATTCAGTGGGCTTGGTCCTTGCCACCTCAGCAGTTGCCATCTCCTGTGGCTTTATCCTTTTATAAGAAGATCATGCTTCTTTTCCAAAATAGATAGACTATTTTATCCTCACAGCCTCTGGGAAGATGATTCCAGAATGTCATTGCTAAAGCCACCCTCTGCTTGCCAGTCTGCTTTTATTTATCAGCAGCCTGAATCCTTTTTGTTTCTGTTGTGTTGACGTTTTAATACCCGAGCGGTCGCTCCCCTGATACCTGCAGTGGAAATCTCTTCTGTAGCAGAGTTGAACGGGTCCCAGCTCACATTGCCCCAACACCACCGTTGCACCAGGCTGGATCAGCCCCCTTAGGCCACTGTAACCACGTGCTTGGTTGCTCCTTCAGTAGGAAAGAGCAAGTCTTGTCCTACTGTAAGCCTCGAGGCTGGCTTTTAAACCTGAAATTTGTCCAGTTTGGGCTCTTGAGGAAATGTCAAGAGCATGTGTAAGCTTTAAAACTGCATTTCTGAGAAAGTGCTCAAGGGAGAGAACTGCTCATTTGCAAAGCCCTTTTCTGTGAGGTGGGGATGTGGTGTAAACCAGAAGTATTGAGTCCTGTAAACTTAATCTGAAACAGGCAGATAGCGTAACTTAACAAGTGAACTACTTCCCTCTGCCTTGACATAGTGCCTGCAAGAGCAGGGCATGCTCCTGCTTCTCTGGTTGCATGTTAGCAGTCTGATGGGTTTGAGGTAGCCCTGAGAATTGAAAAATATCCCCAAATTAATCTGGCATCTGAGCGCTCACCACGTACCCCAGGGTGAACAGTTGTTTGGCAGTATTGCAGGAAGTTCATTCACAACAAGGGAACTGAGAGAGTTGTGGTGCAGGAGCTTGTTTGTGGATAGCAGCCTGTTGCCTCAGCACCACACTGGAGTTGTAGCTCAGCCGACAGTGGTCAGACTCTGGAAAATATTGGTCTTTCAGCTGATTTGCATTGCTGATGAGGAAATACGTCACTGTAGCAGGCTTGCCTGATCTGCCTTTGGTGATGTTCTTGATGCTTTTATGAAACACGTCAATCAGAGGAGGGATCACCTGATCTCCAGATAATAACTGCTTGACACTAGATACACATTACTCTTTATTCCTGTGATACATGAGCTTAGGGATTTGGTTTGGTCTGTTTCTGTCCTTGTTCAGAATAAGCTTAACCATACACGAAGCATCCTACACATATCCTCTTTACCAAAACCCTTAACATATTCAAATACCTGGAATACAGATATTAGTAGAACAGAGTACTGGGACAACTCTCTCGCTTTGTTCTATTCACTCAGCAACAGCACAGGCACAATATATTTGCTGTTTTTAAGTAAGAATGGAGAACATACGGAAGACAAACACCAAATACCAAAATGGGACTTGGACAAGCAAATTGGTTTTATTCCTTAATTTGTAGGTGGTTAATCTTTTTTTCCTGAGACAAATAGGACTGATTTGCACTCTAGTTCATAAATACAAGTACCCACTTCAGCAGCTGGTTGTGGAACTATGTGAATTTGTAAGGTTAGTGAAGTTGATCTCATTAAGGAGTATAAGGTTACTACTGTTCTGTAATGCATTTAGGTCATAACCTGTGGTCCTTCTAATAATAAAAGTTGGTAAGGATGGTCCGTCTTGTCCAGATTTCACTGGTTTCTTCTGGTGACACTGCCTGCTGTTGGTGGTATACATCATGTGGGTTTTTATCTTGTTTTGTTTAGGTTGCTGACACTGTGGCTGCAGTTTACTCACCAGATACCAATCAAACACTGATATTTGGAGAAACACTTGGATAGGTACAGTTCCTCACCCAGGATGCCTTTCAAAGCTGGATTAGAACTGACTGAATTGCAGAATATGACTGTCCCCGAAGATGATAACATCAGCAACGATTCAAATGATTTTACAGAGGTGGAAAATGGCCAGATAAATAGGTGAGTATTTTTCCATTGACACTGCCTGTGCTAAGAAACACACTGTTTAAAACAGCATTCTAATATATACGTCTTGAATTTTTCATTACCAAATCATGATCTGTTTGAAGATGTAATTTGAATTTCATATGTGACATCTGTTGGGCATAGGCTGCAACAGCAGATAAAGCAAACAGAGTGGCAATTTATTCATCGTTTTGAATCTTTCAAATTAGTCTAATAAAATGCACAAACATATAATGTAGCAAAAAGCCAACATTTTGAAATGTCTGCTTGCACACAGGAAAGGACTAATAATTAATACAATTAGACCAATGGCATAATCTGGGCCAAATCTCTTTTGTTGACCTTTGATCTCTGATACGACAGTTTTGACCTGCCTGGCCACCTCCATGTATCCAAGCTCGTGGAGATTTACAGCTGATGTGGTTGGCAGCACACGTAGTCCTGGTCCACGTTTGCAGTTTGGCAAGTTAAACTGGGTGGTGGCTGCCACTCCCTGAGGCAGGGATGGCAAGAAGATGGTAAAACAGAGACTTGCACCTCACTCGCGTCAAGTTTAAAAAAATGCATCTATTGGTCAATACCAGTGAAAATCATTAGGTTTGTTTAAATTATTGGGATGTTGGCTTTTCCTATAAGCTGTACAGTCATTCACAATGAGCAGCCTGTTCCACCTGTGGGTGGTTGTTTAGGCCTTCCTACCAGCCTTCAGCAGGTGCTGAGCTGTCCTGTTTACAGCGAAGACCTGCTGGCAGACCCTGTTTGGGTTTTGCAAGCTGTAAAACAAGAAGATGTTTTCCAATCAAACTTCCTGTTCAAATATTGCAAACCAAGGTGGAGCAAGTGTCCGCACAGAGACCCAGCACTGGTGCTACTGGGAAGCCTCTGCTGGCACATCCTCCTTCTCTTTTACTGCTGGGCTGCCCACTGCCTGGGTTTATGGTCTTTAAAAACTGCTTTTTTTCGCCCTTTCTTCCTTTTGGCAGCAGCTTTTCTGGAGAAACTAACTTTATAGTGTAAGAACAAAATCAAAAGCTGTTATTTCCCAGCTGAGGGTGCAGTCATGAGGCTATGGGGCCATGTGGGTGGACAGGCAGCTTGGCAGCAGGTATAAGCACCTGCTTATTCCTCATGTCCGTACCATGCACGCAGCAAAACCAGTCGGCCATACCCTGGGACTGAGCGGGGGCCCCTGGCTGGTGGCATGGGTGAACCTCTGGCAGGAGGGTGCCAGCCTGTGTTCCCCATTGCCTGCCATGGGGAAGTGCTGGGGCAGCTGCCAGCCGCATGGTGTGGCGGTGGGACCGCAGCGCAGCTGCGCTGGTGAAGATTAGAGCTGGTCAGGAATTTTCTGATGCAACTGCTTTGATGGAAAGTGCCAAAGTGAAACGCGAATGAGTTCTGTTAAAGAAAAAAAACCCTTCGACTTTGCCAAAACAAAACAGTTCCAGTATGAACCTGCTCACTTCATAAAGCAAGGAGCTCAAGGGCTGACAGTGGTGAATTCGCTCCCTGGAGCCTGCTGAGGATTTATATCCTCGAGAGAAGGAGTGGCTGCAGTGGGCTGGCTGTGCCTCGCCTCCCCAGCGCCCTGGCTAGTGCCACCAGTAACTGTTATGGGGAAAAACCCTGTTAATGCGTCAGCTCTCAGGGAATGTTTATGGAGAGTGGAGAGGGAGCGTGCTGTATGTGCCTGATCCTCTGCGGTCACAATGCACTTCGTGGAGTTAGGGAGTAGTAAGCGTGGCAAGGACTGCGTTGGGTCCAGACTGCCTACAAAGGGAAGAAGAAAAGTGGGGTGAGGAAAGGGTACCAGAAACTCAGAGGGAGAATTTCTGATTACTGCTGTGGCTCTTAGGGCAGATGAACATATTCCACAGTTTTCCATTCCTTTCTGGGTCACTTTTTTCCTCTGCAGAGCACCATTTGTTGTAGGACGTAGCCCATTAAGGTTGCCCGTTTTCCCTCTGACGGAATGCTCACTGGGCTGCTACTTATTCCTGCACGCCATGCATGAGTATTCTGCCCTATACATCCCAGTGTGTTCATATTCCCCGCCATGTCTATAACAAGAGTTTCAAGGCAGCTCACACTGATCACAGCTTCCAGCACAGCAGCACATTGGCACTGGAGCAGCCCCATCAGCATCCCCTGGGGCTGAGCCACCCATGGCAACTGCCCTGTGCAAGCACCTCCACACCAACATGGGTGATGAGCAGGCAGGCAGACCCTGCTCTGTACCCCATGTCAGAGGTATCCTGAAAGGGTGTGGTTATTCCCTTTCCATAACTACTTTGGCAAACACCTTATCTCCATGGAATAAGAGGTTAATGGGTGTATGGAAGAACACATTTTGGCATACGGTGCAAGGTCTTGTGAAACTCCAGAGTCCATCAAAATCCATGGGACTTTTTCTGTTGATTTCACTTGAGCTTTAGATTAGATCTGTAATTTCCAACTAACTTTTTGTTGGTTTTGTTTCAACTTGTTTGATTTTACACTCTGTATTTCCTTTTAAACATTTTTTTTCTTACCAGTGCATAATTTTTCAAGCTCAATATAGAGCAGTTTTTTAACAATCTTTTGGAGAAGAAAATTCAGGGAGAGGCTGATTCCAGGTCTGATTGTAAACTCCGAGTATTTCTTCATTTTGGAAAAGAATTCTCTATATTCGTTTGGATTTACATCCTTTTCTGGGCCTTTAGATGACTTGCTCCGTATCTGTAACTATGCTGATGCTTTCAGGAAGCTGATGGCTGAATGCCTATCTTGGTTTACAGCTACTAGTAAGTTATCAGCACTCCTTGTTCAGTTAACAAAGTTGTCAGACCAGATATCGTCCAAGTTTCATGGTGTAAATCAGACCAAGGCTTCTCCTGCATTTCTTGTTCCTGCCTGCCTTGGAAACCTTTGCCATTGCTCAGGTTAGTGCTTAGTTTAAGAAGCTGCCTAAGGATAAAGTTCTGTCATCTTGTCAAAACTAGCTTTCCCTAACAAACGTTTAAGGCATTGTCAAATATCACTTTAATTTAATTATGTTTAAACATATCTGAGATGGCTAAATTATTTTTGGCTAACTCTGCTTTGCCGAAATGGTTAGCTTGGGGATATCCCCTTAATGAAACATTTCTCATTTAAGTTCTCTAATACATTAATTTTGGAAACTGTACTTAAGCATGATCCTTTTAAAACCACTTTATCAATAGAACTGAGTTTCTATTTTGCACGAAATCAAGCCAGGAAAAGAACTAGATGAAGAAATTCTTTCCAAGCCAACCATGAGGCTTCCTGCATTGCAAGGATGAGCTAATTATTTTTTGGCCAGGGTGTTCTGTTAATGTCTCTGAGAAGTTTTGTGTAAGCTGTTCGTACTCGGCTGTGATGTGGGAAACACAACAGGAAAGCAGAAACATATGAGAACAGGTTATATCTTACAATGATGAGTAACGTGTGTGAAATGAAGACAACAAACAACGCAAATGGATTTCATGCTTCTCGGGGAGACGCAAGGCTTTGATGGCACAGACAGTCCTACTGCACATTTCCACAGCATGTCATAGTGGCCTCTGGTCCTTGGGAAGGCCGGGAGAGGCTGGAGTGGAGTAAACAGTCATTTCACTTCATTTGTGTCGTATTTATAAAGATCAAATGTACAACATTCTGTGACAGTGAATAGCTTGTTTTCTAAGCACATCTATTAAGCAGAGCAGATGCTTGTCACGCTTTAAGTAGAAATTCCAGTATTCCAACATATGTTACTTTTCATATGCTATAGGGTGGAAAAGACCCACCCTGAAATGAAAAAAAAAAAAATTTATAAAAAAGCAAAATCTTGGGGAAAATTGTTTCAGATGAATCCATTGGATTACCCTTGCCCTACTTTATGTAACTTCAGTAATACATTCCCTTTATGGAAAACTTAATCTGTCATTCGCTGCAGCTGTACCACCTACCAAGCATAGTCCCAAGGCAATCTTCTCGTCCAGACTTGCAGGTTAAGTTGCCTGCAATAGCAAATGCAGCACAGCCTCCAGACCAGGCAGACCCCACATCCTGCACCTCTGCATCACTGGTGAGCTTTCCAGGCAAGCGTCCTGGGGCTGGGAAGCGCCTTGTACAAAAGCCGGGTGCAATGCTATGTACCTCATGGTTTGGGAGCACAGTAGCCACATTCCTGTATCTGACTTTGCCCTCCCATACACATTACACAACATAAATGGAGAAAAATGTGCAGTGTGACGTGGTAAAAAGGGTGGATGGAGAGCCCAGTTTGGAATAGGTGATGGGATAATGGACAACAAGCCCAGTCCATTTTAATGTAGGACTAACACAGAAGAAAGTACTTTGGATTGAGTTATCAAATCAAACTAGTTTTCTTAAAATCCCATCCAGAAGGAAAAAAATGTGTTTGCTGGCCACGGAAGATACCAGTTCCACAGAAGCTGTTTACTCTGTCAAAAGTATTCTAATGGAAAATCCCACGGTCACTTTATATTCATGCAGTATTACTCGAGTGTTGTTTTTTATCATGTGTTAGCAATAATTTTCATCAAACTTTAATACCAGGTGGCAATAATAATAGTATTTAAAAATCTGTTATTTCTGTAATTATTAAGGGGGCACTGGCTGCAGAGGGATGAGGAGAAGGAGGAGGCAGACTAGTTCTATCTGAAGTAAGTCTGACAAAATCTAATATGACACATGATCTCTGTAAATGACAGAAGAAGAAGTCCACAGATGTGCCCAGCAGCCCTTACAAATCCAAAAGAGACAAAACTCTTCTCTGTGCTCCTGCCTGTACAAATTGCCTGCAGGGTGTTTCGAGAGAGTTGAAATGTCTTTGTCAAACCTTTCACACTCTGCTGCCTGCATTCAAGAGATGGGCTTTAAACAGACATGAAATAAAAAAGCACATGCTCTGAATCAGGTTGAGATTTTATTCTATGAGGATGAAATACCTACACAGCGAGCTTTGGAAAGTTAATTTTGGATCAGTCTGTGTTAGAAGTGGTTGGTTTTCACTCCTTAAAACACTGGGGGAGGTTCAGCCATCTATTCCAACTGCGTTAGGGCCAGTAAATGTAGCACAGTGTCTATATTTTGCAGCAAATTAGTTGCTGAATTCAGTGGTTTAAAAAATACAGGAGAAGCCTATAGTTGTTTTTTATTGATACTAAGGAAGTCAAAGCAGACCAATGGCTAAGAGTCAAAGTTGCAACCAACCAGCAAAAATAGTCCATACATTTTGCCAGATGTGGCTGAATTTAAGGGGTAAACTCAAAATGCGTATGGAGTACGCAAAATGGTGAAGACACAGAGCCCAGTGTGTCAGCTGTGGAAGCTTAAGTCAGCAGCGTTACAACTGCATGATCTTGGCATGCACTTGGAAGCTGTGCTAGTATGCATCCCTAGTAACTAGGTCACAGCTGGGATAGTAGGGAAGTTTGGTAGAGCCCTGTCTGTATGAGTTTGCAGTTACATTACCAGCCTGAATACTGCTGGATGTGCGGTCTTGAGTAACAGTTTGAACTATGCTCGCCTGGCCAGTAGATGTTCCCAGCTGAGGGAAGGGATCAGCGGTGCTGCTCCGTGTTCAGAGTTTGTCTGTTTTAATTTAAGAAGAGCCACCTCAATTCACCTACAGCAAGAAAGGTCTCTGACACTGGTTACAGCCCCTAGTTAGGTATGTAACATGTACAATGGCTGACGCATTAGCCAGTGCAGCCTAAAACCATCTGTGGATTAACAAAGATGCCAGGGACTTAATTGTACATAAACATTCAAAAGATGAAAAGCTGAAAGAATCCTTTATACAAACTAAAATGTTTGCTGAAGAAAAGATCTGTGAGAAAATAACAGCTCATCCAAACCAGTATTGTCATAAATCCCAAAGATACCAACATAGCCGCAGGAGGCAAATTTTGTTCTGGTGATGGTAAATTCCTAAATGTGGATATATCAAGGGCACAGAACAAGTAAAGAGTGCAGAGAAAGAAGAGCTGTTTATTCCATGTTTCCATGCACAGAAGTGTTTCATTTTGCAGTATGGTGAATTCAGTATTGAGTTTTGAAAGACACTTAAATGAAAATCAAGAAGCCCTGAGCTGTGCACCGACAGAGCACATTGCCTGGTTCAGAATGGTCCAGGCAGTGCTGGCTGTGTGTAGGACCTCTTCCTCCTCTTAACTCCAGCCACACTGACCCTATGGTGGCAATTCAGGGTTTGGCAGGGTGCTGCAGTGTCACCCAATATGGAGGGAACAGATAGGGTCTGTTAGGGATCCTTGGCAGAATGATGATAGCACTAAATGGGAGTTACAATTAAGACTTTATTTCCTCAGGATATTATGATTACTGTAGCTCAGAATTTATTATTAGAATTGCACAGGATTTCTACAAGCAGAATCAATTAACTTAATGATTTCTGATCACCTGGACTCTTATGCAGATCAGATCATATCTTAATACATGGTTTGCTGTGTCACTATAACAACTGTAATCTAGACTTGTAAATCATATAGGAGGGTACAAGGCCCTCCTTCAGTCCTCAGAGTAACCAGAAAATGGTGGTATTCTACCTGACCACTGCAGGTCCTGAGTCCCACTGCCTAGCAGCAGCTCCCATCCAAGTTCCCCACACAGGACTTGAACCTGCTTGGTTTTACAGACAGTATAGAATCTGGGTGCTGCTACAGTTCCCTGCTATGTGAGTGGGTCATTGCCACCACCTGGTGGGCTGCTTGCCTTGGGACATTCAAGGCTGGCAAGGAAGGGAGTAATCAGGCTGGTGCCCAGGAGTCTTGAGGCTGATAGGGAGGGGAAGAAGACATCTGTTTGGTTTGTCTACTTGGTTCACAGGACCTTCAGTGTCTGATAATGAGGAAAAGGGAATGAATACATGACCCGCCCAGTCACAGAATGGCTGTTTGCCTTATAAAATGGTGTTAGTTATACTAAACACATGAGCAGGAGTTGGGAGCAAGGGGTACGGGTCACATGCACCTCTGCAGGACACCTGGAGAAGTATCTCCTCTTAATGTCTGCAAACAGATTTCTTTCCCATCCACAGAACTGGCACTGTTGCTTTACTGAACCTCCTAAAAGATATACTCTCTATGTATACATTTATTCTGATCTTGTGCTCGTGTTAACTTTATTGATGCCCAACATACACTGGTATCAGTGAAACATAATCTGGCTCATTAAATAATTATGAGTCTGACCTCTTTTCAAATATAGTTTTTATATGTTGGGTATTTTGTAATCACATGCTGCTCACGGAATTAATGTATTCACATTTCCTAAACACTTGCTGGAAATAAATCCTCTGACTTCTTTCAGCAAGTTTATTTCGGATCGAGAAAGCAGAAGAAGTCTCACAAACAGCCACTTGGAGAAGAAGAAATGTGATGAATATGTAAGTCATTCTTGCTGCTCTTTTCTCTGTCAAAATGAACTGTACGTTGTGTATATGCAGGACCTTTAGGCACAGTCTTCAAAAGGGCTGGGCACACACAGCTATAACTGAATTTCAAGTTCCTGTAGGAACCGCCTGTGCTCAGCACTTTAAAAAAATAAATAAATAAAAAAATAACCCAAACAAACATTTTGGTCAAGTTGAGGCAAGGGAATCCCTCTGGTCTGTCTTAGGCAGAAGTCCTGGTGGGTCCTTATGGCTTTACAATATATAAATAGAGCACCTAAGATGTTTCATAGTCTTAGCAAAAGATGGGGTTTAAAATTGAAACTATGGTATGAGTTGTATATTGCCTGTACCATTTATGTCAGTTTTCAGCAATCAGAGTGTAGCTGTGACAGTGTTCAGGGATGCTTTTTCCTCTTTCAAACCAATTTTTACTAAGTAATTTCCATAGCAGTAGTTACTTATATCTGATATATTGCAATATATGTGGAGTTTGAAGCACAGATGCATTTCCCTGCTCCATTCCAAGCTGTTGCTGACACATCGGTCTTTACTTCTCCAGATTCCAGGAACTACTTCTCTGGGGATGTCTGTTTTCAACCTCAGCAATGCAATTATGGGCAGTGGGATTTTGGGTCTCGCTTTTGCCTTGGCCAACACAGGAATTCTCCTTTTTCTGTAAGTATTTGCATGCTGAATAGCTGGTCTCTGTGCAGTTTCACTGCGTTTAAGGAACATGTGTGCTGCCATCAAGTGGAAGGATTTAAACTCCATCTCTAATCAAATATAACGTTAAAGTCTGAAAATGTTAGCTACAAGTTTTGGACTTTTTTTAGTCAAATCTTTTTTGGGGAAAAGCTACTACTTGTAATGCTAGAGCAAATCAAGTCCATGTTATTTTCTACCTGAGCCTAGCCAGGGATGTTTCCTGTGGTCCATAAGCTATACATACATCAGAAATATTAAGTAGTAATACTTGCAGTTGGATAGTACCTGATTCTTAGTCATGTCACAGGATCTCCAGAGCTTTCATCAAAACACGATGCAATAACTACTTCTTTGAAACCAAGAAAAAGAATGAAAGAATGTTTATATTCCTCTATGTGTTACATATAATATTTTCATCTCACTCCCACAGTTTCATAAGTTTCTTATGTGAGAGTCCTTGAGAGCAAACATAAACGTAGCCAAGATTTCAGTATAAAAAAGAACTGAGGTAGAGTACTTAACTCCAACGAAAAAGAGGCATTCTATAAAGGAGAATTTTACAGTTTAAGAATGAAATGTTGCCAGTGGATGAGTAAGACAGTGTTACTCTGTTTTGTTCTGGATCACATGAATAAAGTATGAGTACATTTCATTGTGGAAAGTGATTGTTAAGAAATCAGTTGGGAATTGTGTGCAGATTTCAGTGATAAATGTTCATTGAGGGAAGAAATCCAGTAATTTACAATCTTTGAGAAGTGTTCAACACAGTAAGTGAGTTTACAGATTACTCTTACGAAGTCTCATTTCTTGAATGTCACATCTAAAAATCCAGAACTTTGGTTATTTCTTTAGGGTTTGGGAAGTATGAGTCCTGTATATGAGCAGAGTAGATGGCCAAAGTGGTACATATAGCCACCTGCTCTGGAGTTTTGTGCCAGGACAGCTACATCCATGCTGCTACCTTACAGTTTGCTGTGGTTGGGTAAAATCCTGGAATAATCCAAGGACTTAATCCATTTACATTAAGAATGTACAAGTCTCATAATCGTATTGTCACTAAGATAGGCTACAAAGTAGCTGGACTCTAATTTAGGTCTTTCTTATGCAGAGCGGCCGAGTTGATTTTGGTTTTGCTGTTTTTTTTACCCAGTACACTAACCTGTATGTGATACTCCATATGGTGCTCTGACAAGCACACACAGACTGGTGGTGGCAAAAACTGCTGTAACCAGTAAATAAAGTTACCTCTCTTCAGCCATGTTATACCTCTTCTGTGGTAATAGCGTCTCAGCCAAGGAGCATCCTCAGTTTCTCCTTACTGATTCAGTTTTCTATAATCTCATCTTCTCGTTCTTTCAGCAGTTTTTCTTGAGGGTGAAGTGAAATGTGAAATGAGTTTGCTCTAAAGGATGTGAAAAGGCAGTTTCTTTTAAGTGAAGTAGATCAGACCAGTGGTGCGAACACCAGAGGAACTTCTAACATCATGTGGCGGTGACTGGGCTCCTCTTAGGCTGAGTAATGAGTGTGTAGATCTCTACCACCACATGGTTCAAAAAACTGCCAACCCTGAATGTAGAGATTTTATACAGTAAATAACAGCATTATTCTCTACAGAATTAACTGTGTGTATTTAAAAATGGATAATTGTTTTTATTAGCTTTATAATGCCTTTACATCTGTTGGCCTGGAGGTAGACCAGCCCACTGAGATCAAGGGTAAGGAAGCTAGCAGGACCTAACTGATCATGCTAGGAGAGCTTTCCCCTTTGAAGCCTGGGAATACAGGATCCTAATGTGGTGTCCACAGTTACACCTGAAAGTTGAACTCCTTTAAATGTTCTTTTATCATGTGACAATCTCAGAGCTAAACGTAGTCCATTAGTGGTAGATTTTTTTTCTCACACTCATTCAGTGTATCTTTCTCTGCTGTTGGTATCAAAGGTAGATCTTAGAACCATTTCTGCTTTACAAGTGATTAAAGATAGAGTCCTAGCAATACTTTCATTTTTGCACATTTAAAAGCACTTAAATTCATTGTTCTTGAGTAGCACAGACCTGGAAAGTTTCTGTGTCGGTTTGTCTGGTATTGGCATGCACCATCCCTGAAAAGTGGAGGTGGAAAAATGAAAGGAGCATTTTCAGTGCTAACAAAGCATGCCCAGCCTGATTTCCTCTCACACCTTTTAGGCCTCTGCAGAGTGAAGTGTGCACTGCCGTGCATACCTGGATCTGTTCAGATCCTATACTCTTGGCATAAGACATGCAAAATAAATATGGCAATGAGTATACATTCTCACATCCTATTTGCATAACTTGGCGCCATGATTCCTAGGCAAAACAAATGTGGTAGGAACTCAGATGGACTTAATCCCAGTACTGTTGATAACTACAGCCTAGCCAAAGAGGAGCGTCGTTTCCTGTATGCAAAAGGAGAAAAAACTTTGCTGCAGAACGATGGCACAAAAGGCTTGGGAAGCTGGGGATAGGCCAGGCCATGCAAGGATGGCAGGAGCGCTCGCTGCTTCTTGTGGTTTCATCTTGGAGAGCCAGGACCAGAGCAATGGATCGTGCTGCAGAAGCATATGGGCCAGCCAAGTGCAAGATGCCTTCAGCCTGCATTTAGCCTGGCACTGCACATGGTCTCAAAAACCCTACTGAGGCACAGGGCCTTGTTAGATGAGGTGTAGTATGAGACTACCACCAGAGTTTCACACTGCGTTCTGCAGCTGCTTCTGCCAGGGTTGGCTGGAAGCAGTCACCCAGCTGCAGCCTAACTCCTCCAGAGGTTTAGGGCAGACCAGCACCTCTGAGGGGCTGTACGGTGGCAAACGCCATGCTCTGCTGTGCTCTTCTGCACCCCATACCTTGCAAGGGTCAGAGCTGTTCTGTGCAATAATAAGGCAGGTGACTGCGCAAGCCTCACAGGTTTTCTGGCCCCAAAGCCTGGGACTGGACAAGAGGGCTGGGAATAGCACAACCAGTTTAAGCTGCTCTGGTAATATGGCAGTTGGGAGCAAACAGCAGTGCCATTGCAGAACAGTTTGTTCTTCACAGCACTCTATGAATCCCCTGCCCTAAACTGTCTATTCTGGATTTGTTGGAGGGAGGTGACTTTTGCATGTGCTGGTCCCTTGCGTAGCTGCCAGCACTTCTTTAAAAGCAGGCAGAATGAAAAGTAGGAGAGTGCTTTTGGGACTGCAGTGCAAGCTTCCCTACTTCTGTTTTGAATTTGTGCAGAGCAAGTGGCATGGACATTATCATTCCTTTCCAAGGGGTGGTTCTGGCACGAATATCCCTGTCCGTACCACAGCCCTAACACAAACAAGTTTTTCATACAGTGCTAATGGAAATGCCAAGTGTCCCTGCAAGAACCCTATGGGGAGCTAAGGACAACAGATCAGATAAATACCTGGCTGCTTGGGAGTGTTATTTTTACCGCTGCAGAGGCTCCGTGAGCTCAGTGCCTGAAAAACGGGAGCTTTTGATATTAAAGTAAACTCGATGCTGGCATGAGGAGCCGGAGCCATTTGGGGCTGGAGTGAGTCAGCCCAGCACAGAGCATAGGGGAGCTGTGAGCACCATCCCTGCAGGCAGGCAGGGGTGTAGCAGCTCTGCAGGGAACACAAAAAATGAAGCAGTGACCTCAGCCAGCGCAATCTCCCTTCCCTTCTCCACCTTCTCAAGGAGAAACACCCTTTGAGCTGTACAAAGAGTGTTGTTATTGTCAACCGTTGCTCTTTATTGGCAAAAGAACAGTTCCTCCTATCACCTCTTTATGTTTCTCCCTTCTCTGGCCCCAAGAAACTTGTGGGTCATTATTTGGCTCTGAAGTATTTCTAGTCTAAGATAATAAAAATTGGGGGGAGGAGGCTTCTTATCCTGTTCTTTCCTATGAAAAAGATGTGTTGCTGCCTATCTATAGCAGCAGCTTGTTTTCTGTTAAATCTTAGGCTTGTTTTTCTTGGTGTCCTGAGGGTAGTTGTCATAATAAACAGAGGAATTGCCAACAGATTGTCTGAATGCTCTTCACACACATCATGAAAACATCGTCAGGTCTTTGTGTGTCAGAGTGTTGGAGGGGAAGGCACACATGGTGCTTGGCTCAAAGACACAGCGCAATAAGCAAATGTGTTTTTATGCACTTAGCCCCCGGCACTGACTAATTATCATTTGTGCCAGCAAGTTTCCTGCACAGTTTGGTCATTACTCCTCCACTTCTTCTACATGAAGTCAAATTATGGATCACAGCAGACCAGGAGTGACATCAGTGAGGGAACACCAGCCCCCACCTGGACAAAGGATAAGCCTTTGGTTTCTGCCTTTATTCCTAAGGGAAGCCAGTCAAGCCTTAACTTCCTTCCTCTTCCCCCTGCTTGTGCACTGGGAGGCACATAAAAAGCTATTTGGGCACCCCTTTGATAGCATATGAAACGTGCCCTGGGAAAACATGCTTCCATTTGGTATGGTAGTTCTTAAAAAGAGGGCTTTCTTTTGAAATTTTTTTCCCTGCTTCCAGAAGAAAAAGCTTTAGAGTAGGTGGTGAGAGACATACCTGGCTCATCCCTGCTCTGATTAAATCTTAATTCCTATCTGATAAGACATCTTTATTCTTGTTTCTTCCAATATTGGGAGGTATAACTCACTGACAGGCTGTGTTCTGCAGCTCTGCTAAGTTGGACATGGTTGAATCCCTCTGTGTGCAGGGCTTTCTACCTCCACTGTGATGTGGTGGAACTGCGAACAGTATGTGAATCACATGTATTTTTAGGGCTTTTTGCATTGTCAGAAGAGTAAAAAGATTATCTTGGAATCAACAGGAATATGACCTAACATGAAATATTGCAATACTAGATCTCAGCTCTTACAGTAAGCTTTATTTTCTATTCTTTTATAGGCTGCTCTTGGTTTCAGTGACGCTGCTGTCTATTTATTCAATATATCTCCTGTTGGTGTGTTCAAAGGAAACAGGTAATTTAAGATGTTATTCTACGATTTCAGTAGACTTGTAAAGGACAAAAGATAAAAAGTGCTCATATAAGGCCAGGTGCTTTGTGTAAGATGGAATTTCTATCACAATGGAAAATCCTAACACATTTTGGGTCAGAAGCCCAGAATTAACAAGAATTTATGTCATGTCAATAGAGAACAGCATCTGACCATCTCTACAAAGAGAAAAACTTACTACAAAGACTGAATTTTTCTACCATGAAATGTTGTCTTCAGTGAGCTAGAAAGAATAGCTCACGGTAGTTTCTTTGCATTGCGAAACCAATTGCAAATGAAATGTTATGAATCTTTGCCTATGGTGAAGCTTACCTAGAAATGCAGTTTGTCCTTACTGGTTAATGTGAAATTCCTGATAGCCTTTGTGGTATAGCGGGATGTTTCCTAGAACATAAAAGGGAACTGTTCCTCCACAGAGAGAAGTGTATCTGTAGGCAAAATACATTCTAAACACAGAAATTAGAAGTTAGTTACAGCGTTAAATGTCACTGTGCTCAGGCGTCTGAAAGACTCTTTCCTTGGGAAACAGTATCTGAAGCTAGATTTTGAAAATCATCTGTGAACAAGAACACTGTAATATTTTAATATGTAATTTGGACACACATGAGTTACTGTAATAGCGTGTATTATGCAGCATAGGTTGCCTATTTAAATTAGGTACCTATGCCTAATTGTGGGCGTTAGTGCCCTCTCAGTTCTCAGAATCTAAGCCCTGTTTCTATGGTGCTGTTACATTTAAACTCGAACTTTCTGTTTATGCAAGCTTCAAAGCAGAAATGTCAGCTATAACGAAATATGGAGAAAACCAAACAACGGGATGCATTTTAGAAATCATCTTTACAGCGTGACATCTGCAATATTTCTCTCTTTCTGTTCTCATTTCACAATGTCCAGTCTTTTTCTCGGCCTAAATCACAGCAAAGCAGAGAAACATTTAAGACAAACCAATTATTAGAGTGGTTTCTCAAGCTTGACAGATATTAAGAAGTTTTAGTTACAATTTACATCTGTCCCTGCTTTTACCAAAAACATACTGCACTGAGAATTTGCAAGTTAAGGCTTCATCATTGGAAGTTGTAAATCATCCTGTGAACAGCAGCTGCCCTCGTTTGGGTCATTTAGACAAAGCAGGCAGATTGCAGAATTGCAGTTACTGTGTCTGCTGTGGCCAGGCTGCCAGTGCTGACTTGTAGATCCCTCTGTACCGAGTTCTGTCTGGAGAGGAGGCTTTCTACGTCACTGTCATTGCGGGTGCAAACCTAATACCCCTGGATGGGGATACCAGAACTTAACATATCATTGAGGTATAGACAGACTCATTAAAGATGTGTAAAAGCCTCACTAAGAGCTTCAGTTTCAGAAGTGACTGGTAGCCAATGATAACATTTACAGCCGTCAAGACAAGATTCCTGCATAAGTTTCAGCCCTAGTAATTACAAGAGAGCTCTCTATTTACTTGCAAAAGGTAGATATGACTGCACAGATGGGTGGTTTGCTGAAAAGGAAGCATAAGAGTTTCAACCCAGCAGCTTTCTCCAGTGTATTTGTTACCTTTGTCTTCCATTTTTTACATTACAGGCTGCATGGTGTATGAAAAGCTGGGTGAGCAAGTCTTTGGTACTCCTGGGAAAATGATTGTCTTTGGATCTACATCTCTCCAGAACGTTGGAGGTAAAGGAGATGAGAGACATTGAAAAACAAAACCCAGAAATATGTTAATAATTTTACAGCTACCAACCAGTCAGGTTCCTCCTTCTCTGAGTGACGTCTTGGGATCTTTGTGCTCCTCAGTATTGCTGGGGCTAACACTTTGTGTGCAGCCTTTTAAACATGCTGTTACTGGATGATCAGTAGTTTATGGTCAGTTATAGTTTTGTGTCTTCTATTATCAGACACTGATGTGGGAAAAGGTTCAGGATGCTTCTCTGTACATGTTCTGCAAAATACCTTACTTGTTTTCTAAACTGACTTTCTTCTTCCTCCAGCAATGTTGAGCTATCTCTTCATAGTCAAAAATGAACTGCCTTCTGCCATAAAGTTTCTAATGGGAGAAGAAGAAACTTTTTCGTAAGTTGAATTAATATTGGTGATTAGATTATAGGATTTAACGCTGTGTAGACAAGTTTAAGCATATGTTTATAAAAGCTCTTAAGTATTGGATACTCTTTAGGTTTGTCCAGGTAGATTTTCATAGGAATATCTTAGGGGGTTAATAAAAACCAAAACAACGCTGGGAAGGAAAAGAGGATGAATGGGAAATGAAACGTTAAGTCATCAGTAGGCACTCTCTTTGCACACCAGATTTCGTGTAGAATTGTGATCTATACAAGCCTCTTCTTATCATAGGATCCAACCTTTTAGTTAGGCATCACCTTAAGATACTGGAAACAATGCATGTTTAAGATATCATGTATTTCCCCGTGTCCTTAGCATCTTACAGGATTTTGCCTCTGAAGCACTGTAGTATGAAATTCTCAGTACTAGCATATGACAACAGCAGAATATTGTACTTAGATTTCTGCCATTTACCATTCCATGACATTTACCAGCTTCTTTAATAAGAGGAGTGGTAAATATTTTTTGCACTGGGTTATATAGTGTGCTGTAGTACACAAGAAGAAAATAGAGATCCCATTCCTCAGGCTTCCATGCTAAATTGGACCAAGCAGTGGAAATGGGTCATGCAGAATGTCACTAACGCTGTCCCTTCTCCCTTTTCTTGTTTTCCAGCAGGATTCAAAGCACTTGACTAGAAGGAGGTAGATCCTTGGGCTGGCTAGTGCATGCCAGCCTACAGGAGCCTGGTTTGCTGCTCCAAGCACATGCCCAGGTGGTTTAGCAAACAAATGTGGTGGCCCCCTCTGCCCCACTGAGCTGTATGTGTGGCCCTTTGCATGATCTTTCCTCATCCTGGCAGGGTGGCTTGTATGAGGTTAGGGAGGGTGGTGTTCTGCCTCTCAGTCCCACTCACTGATCTCAGCAGTAGGATGGTATTTTCCCTGGTGACTTTGAAAACCTGCCATACCTGAGCCAGAGCAGTGCCATGCTTTAAGGCCTGAATACTTAATGAGTCTATGAAGCTTAGATGTTGCCCCATTTCTTCTTTGGTAGGAGTTTGTAGGGTAAGGAGACCAAAGGTAGTTCTGTAACTGCAGCAAAGAAGTTGACTGAGTGTAAGACAAACCAAAGAGAATTTAAGGTGTGCTCATGGGTTCCTTTAATTCTTTTATACAGGGCATGGTACGTGGATGGGCGGATTCTTGTTGTCACAGTGACGTTTGGTATAATCCTCCCTTTATGTCTCCTTAAGAACTTAGGTAAGATGCAAATGTCATTGTGGGAATAAAATAAAGGAGCCCAGACATCATGCCACTGGCAGCCACACTGGCAACTCAACTATAATAAAAAATAAATGCTCTCATTGTAATCTAAGCAGCCTCCTTGGTCCAGGAATAAGCTGTGTTTAAGCATCTTGGAACAAGTAAGCCTAAATTGTCACAGTGGTTGATCTCAGTATAAACCAGCTTCCTCCAGACAGCCGTGGAAATTTATTTTAAAAATTACAGTTAAGAGGGTCTTCATTTCATAAGGCAATTCTGGTTTATGTGTGGCCTGTAAAAATAAGTTCACAAATTGTGAGATTACAAAATAACTTACTTTTCTATCTGCATCGAGATTTTTAGTGGTGAGGTTAATTGGAGGCACTGGGCTTTGAAGATGTGTATAGAGGATTGCATTTTCACATGTGTTTGAGTCCATAGGCATGCCAGTAGGTACACAATATATTTTTTAAAGCCATGTAACAAGTTTTGGCACTGAAGTCCTGTTGAGATCTTCCTTCTGAGAAAATAGCCCACATTCAGGTGACGCGGCTTGTATCAGGGCATCTGGGTCACGTTCCGATCGCATTTGCACATTTTCAGGTTTCTTTGAATTATCACAGCCCTTTTCAAAAGTAAAAGAGTTAAACTGCTGTAAAGGTGACCCTCGGGAGGTCAAACCAGTCAGAGAAAAGCTTGGGTCTGTCTGAAAGCCGCAAGGCTTGCAATGTGGGAGACCCACACCTACAGGACGCGGGTTTGTCCTGTCCAGAAGCTCAGGATACATATTAAATGTATAACACGTTTCAACTTCATGAAGCAGCAAGAAGAAGTAAAACCCAAGCTATGGCTAAATAAAATAATTTTGTATGAGATTTCCTTTTAATTTCTTTCAGGGTATCTTGGCTATACCAGTGGATTTTCATTAAGCTGCATGGTATTTTTCCTGGTAGTGGTAAGTTCAGCTTGCTTTCTTCATTGGATGAGAGTCACTTGATAGGTTATTCATAATTTCTCTGATGTTTTCATTTTAATTTGCTTTTTAGTATTATTTTTATCAATTAGCTGTCTTCCACTCTTATTCTAGGTTATATACAAGAAGTTTCAAATTCCCTGTGGTGGATCGGAGCTAAATGCAACATCATCTAGCTTATCAAATAGCTCAGCATATGAACATATGTGTAAGCCAAAGTATGTTATCTTTAATTCCAAGGTATGTTTCTTTTTATAATACTTATTCTTAATTCACATAATATATGCACGTACACCTCTTGTTCTTAGTCTGCTCAGCATCATGCTGGGCCTGATTCTCCATGCTGCCACTCATGCCCCTTGCCCAGTCTTAAGGAGATGCTGTGTTGAACGTCCCTCCTTGCAGTCTTGCTCTGCTCCAGTAGTAGATGTGCCAAGGCTGTGAGCCCAAGCTACCACCAGACAACTAATGCTTTCTTTGGGAGAGTTTTCCTTTCCACTGCTTCTCGCTATCCGTGCTGGAATTGTGCCTTCAGGCTGTAGTCGAGCAGAGGCTGAGTAAGGCATTCCTGCATCCGAAACCCAGATGTAATCCCTCTGTCCTTCTGCAGACAAACCACTTCTTTGTGACAGGGTACATGTTTCTGTAGCCATACAGTGAGCTGGATTGCAGAAAGGATATAGTTGAAAGCTAATCCAGCAGAAATTTGATTGTCTTTCAGCTGGATGCTTTCCTCCATCACCGCACAGCTGCAGGAAAAGCTGTGCCAGGAGAATGCGAAAAAGCAACTGGCTGTAGCTGTGGGAGCAGGAGGATTGCTCCTGCCAGCTGTTCCAGGGCACAGTGCTCTTAAACAGCACCTTATCCAGCAGGGCAGGTCCCCAGGGTGCTGCAGTCACATCCATATGGAATGAACACATATAGCATATGCATGCAAAATGTAATGTTTTTTAAATTAATCTTACCAGCTTCAGTTGAAGAAGCCAACCTGAGCACTTTTCTTTAGTTAGGGGCAGCAGTCAGCCCAGATGCAGTGTGATGGACTAAGAATTAGTTGGTGTGCAGTAGCAGCTTAGGTGTAGGTATATTTTAGGTAGCGTTGAAGGGCAGTCTTCTTCTCCTACAGTGTCAGCATTTGACTTGGAGTCAGTGGAGGCACACTGGAAGTATCAGTCCATCTGAACTGGGCATGCTTGAGCTGAACTCTGGAGATTTCCCCTGGGGGCCAACAGCTTGCCAATCATTTTAGCTACTTTGGTGTGTGAGAGGAGACAGTTTCACAGAATCAGGGGGTGGCTAAGGTTGGCAGAGACCTCTGGAGGTCCATTGTCTGGTCCAAAATCCCTGCTCAAGCAGGGCTGCCTAGAGCCAGTTTCCCAGCACCATGTCCAGGCAACTGCTGAGCATCCCCACGGAGCGTACTGTGAGTGAGGGAGAGGAGGCAGCACAGTAAGGACGGCTGGAAAGCAACCAGTGTATTTACTGGATATGTCAGGCCTGGGGCATACCCCAGGATGGCTTCTGTGGGAAGGGGATGCCTGTGGCCAGCACGAGTAGATCTCAGAGGGCTGGGGGGAGCTGCATGTAGGGATGGACTCATTTTGTCCTTGCAGGAGGACCTGTTTTTCATGTGATATCTGCTCATACCCATTCCCAGGGGAATGCTTGGGCACTGAGATCATTTGTGAAATCTGGCCACTTGCTGAGGACTGAAACCCACCCAGGTTTTTGGTGGAGGAGGGGATGAGGTCCCCCCAGGAGGCCCCCTGCGCTTCCTGGTGACGTAACGGTCTCTCTCTTTCCCCAAGGAAAAGCATGCTCCCTCCACAGCCCTCCTAGCCCTTTTGCTGGCCTGGGAAATGAAGGGACTCAGTCTGGTACCTTGAAATATCCATTTATTTGTAAGTTCTGCATTCCTGTTCTCTTTTCTTACAGTCTGGATATGGGCTTCCTCTTCAGGACTTCAGCCTTAGCACCACGGGTGCACGCCCCTCTCCGGTAGCGTGGCGTTGCCCCGCCATACGTCCCTTGTACGCGCGACACTCTTCTAGTAGCGCTGGCGGTAGCTGGGCAGGGAAACCCATCCCAGGGAGCAAAGCCAGCGGCCACGTGGCATCCAGCGCTGTGCTCTGCGAGCAGGCTCAGCACTGCGCTTGCATGACCAAGGAGAAGGCTTTGTCCTCTCACTGAGAGAGCGCTGCTTTCCATGCTGCATTAAACACGCACCAATTGACAGGTCTTCTGCCTCCTCTGAAGGCTCTCAATGTGCGGTTGAAGAGTCCAGAGAGGTGGGAGCTGAGGTAGTTGAACACAGATTGTGTCTTCACGCCACTGGGGGAAATACTTCTTAACTTGTTCTCTGAAATTCTCTCTGAACAGACCGTGTACGCTTTGCCCACCATTGCTTTTGCATTTGTGTGCCACCCATCAGTCCTCCCGATTTACAGCGAACTTAAAGAGTAAGCCTTCCTCTTCTTCTCTTTTCCCCCAGTTAATTGTTTTGAACTGCTTGACATGGAAAATTTTAGCGCAGAGGTGCTCTGAGTCATTCCTGCCATTCACAGGAGATGTGCTTTAATAACATCCAACAAGCCAACAAGCGTGGCTGTCAGCTAGGAAATCTGGCCCCCCAGGCGTTACACTGGGGCGGTGGGGAGGGAGCCTGAGGATAATGCAATACTTTGGGAGTTTTCTCTGGAAGTACACAGCAGCCTGGCAGGGAGAGCCAAGTCGTGCCGGTTGTTATTTGGCACTGGAGAGAGGCGTGTGTTCAGCTGATGGTGTTTGTTCCAGTGCAACTAAAAATCTGTTGTGGTAGCAGGAAAAGCAAAGTGCTCTCAGCCTCTCCTGTACTAAAAGACCTTTGCCAGTATGGCTGTCTCGCTGACACCTACACTAGGTGTGGGGGGCTGTGGGGACCTGAGGGCTGGCCCTGCTGTGACATTGCTGGTGGCCCCAGGGCCTGGGGGTGCAGTGGGGTCCTGGGCCATGAGGGGAGCCCCAGGGGAGAGTCTGGGTCAGTCAGACCCATGGATGCCCTCATGTCCCAGCCATTTGCTGTGTGCTTGGAGTGACTTCAGCAGGTTCCCAGGTGCCTATTTAGGGCATCCTTGTGGGAATTTAAGTCAAGTTAGGTACTAGAACATGAATATTTCAGGACAAATATGTAAAAATGAAATGTTTGCAGTTAACCTGTTTTATGGTTCTACAGTGGTCTGCATACATTTGTGATTTGCTACCCACAGGGACACAAATGTTTCTCCCCAAACATTCAGAATGTGTTTTAATCCCCTCTGTATAATTTTACTTCTCCTTTATTTTGACCTTTTTATTTAATTACTGAAGTGTTTAAGGGCCATCCTTCTCTACTCAGCTTCACTCTTCACTGTTTAAGCAGGTATGGCCGGGGAGCAGAGCCACAAAGTGGACTCGCTGTCTCTTGACTTAAGCCCCAAGCAGGGTCCATTTCCCAATCCTTCTCTTCCCTGTGCAACTGTCAATGGATTCCTGTTTTAAATGAACATGCATTCATGAGTCTCTCCAGAATTACTATGTTTATGCAGAGGCTTACTAAATTTTTAAACAGCTATTGAAATATCCAGACTAACCATTTTTATGTGTTCTTTTGTTTCTTCTTTCTCCAGCCGTTCACAGAAAAAAATGCAGTTGGTTTCAAATATCTCATTTTTTGCCATGTTTGTGATGTACTTTATGACTGCCATATTTGGCTATTTGACTTTCTATGGTAAGTATGCAGTTCTTTACTGATCAAAGTAGAAAGGGAATACATGTGAAATGAATAGTGTATCCCAGCTGGAAAGGAAAGCCTCATCTACTTATGTTAAAATACTTATTCAAATAATTTTCCTTAAGGTTTTCATATTGAAGGTACAAGTCTTTTCCTCCTTTTTCCCTAGGGATGAAAAGCACAAGTGAAAGTATTATTTGCAAAGGGCTTATTCAAAACATGAGGGAGAGATTGGTTTAACAGCATTGGGGATTAGCTGGGCCACACTATGATTTTAGTTCCGAGGTCCTCACCTGAATGTTGTGTACACTGGAAATGATTGAAGCGTCGCATATCTCCATAAAATGAGGCAGATTTGAGAGCAGGTCCTAGGAAATGAGTATCAAATCAGCCATCACAGCTTTTTTATGTCCTTATTGACGCTTTTATCATAGAGGTGAAGGACCAAGTATTTTCCCTGCATCCCTATAGCTGACCCCTCCAGGTCCTGATTAAATAAACTGGCAGTGAAGATGGGGAGGCTTTGAGAGTTGTCCCAGCTCAGCTGCCGTAGGATGGTTATTTCGGTGTTTGAGACTTGCACCCTCTCTCTTTTCATGCGTATCAAGTCATGAACAAATTACGTTGTATCACTAAAGGATACAGCATGTATGCCCTAAAGGCAAAATTATTAAGTAAAGCAGGATAAAATATGAGTGTTGCCCAGGAAGCTACTCCCACGTCCCAGTATAACGGGAATGTTGAAAATGAGTGTCTTCTTCCATGGACCATTAAGGGGTTACAAGACAGATGACAAAGCTGATGTTTGCCTTTTACCTCAGAGTCCCCAACAGGTCATCAGTCTTCTCCACCCTATTCCAACTAACCTTTTTGTTACAATCTTCTTATTCATGATACCGTTCCTTGTGAGCCACATATTGCAAGAGAAAGAAAATAAGTAAATATGAAACGTGGCTTTTTTTTTTCTCCCCAAAGGTGTATCTATCTCATGCTTGTTTTCTCTTATTCTGATGATGAGGCCTTGAGTCTGCATGCAGTGAAGTAACTCGAGGTCATCTGTTCTAACTTTCCCAATCAAACCGCAAACCCTCTGCAAGTGACAACCACAACAGCCGTTCTCATCCAGCTGCTCCCATCTAATGTGTAGAAATGCATCAAATTAGCAGCCCCGGGGAGCAAGTGGGTGTAAATCAGCACGGACCCCTTCGCTTTGGCAGGGAGGAGATTCTGATGTGATTGCCCCAGGGATCTGAGAAGGCAGATCCGTGGCGCTCCTCTCTGGGAATCTCCCACACCCCTCAAGGACGAGGGTCTGGAGTCCATGGAGGAGGTAGGGGCTGCGTCCTTCTGGCCCTCCCAAGGGGGAATGGCGGAGGAATCCCTGGGTGTCTCGTGTGCCTCTCCCCATCTCAGGTGTCCCTGGTCCCCAGCGCCAAGAGCCTGCAGTGGAGGCTGTGCAGCTCTGCTGCGGCTTCTGCAATGGTCAGTGCCATGGCAGGCAGCAAAGTACACACAGAAAATACAGAATTCCTCCACTTTGATCCTTCTTCCCCTTGAGACTGACGAGACCTTACCTTTCATATGTTCACTTACAGTTTTCTAACCCTCTTCTCTACCCTTACCTGGGTAAGAACATTTTTATTGTGGCCATTTCTTCTTTACACCAGTAGTACTTGTCTGTTTGCTATGTTCTCGAAAGTGTTGCAGTGATGACTATATTTACATTGCAGAATTACAGAAAAGAGGTGTTTTTCTTCCCCTAAAAGGTCACAGTGTGGTTGGGCTCTGTGGTGTATCTAGCTGAAAGGAAAACAGACCTTCAACTGTAAGCCTTGCCCTTCACTTCCTACCTGGCTGCAGTCCGTGAGCGGTACAGAAGTTGCAGTCTGTGCTTAAAGGAGCAGAGTAAGCTCTGTGTTGCAGAAGCTGTGCATGTGCCCGGCTTGAAAACCCCACTCCTAATCTGCAGGGAGGTGGGAGAGTGTTTTCTTTCTCCTGGTGGGGATTCAAGCACTGTGTAGGTGGTGTTGACCCATGGTCTCTCACCAGAAGGGTGTCCTGGGGGGAGTGCAGTCATTTCACCGCAGGACAGATCCCTCTGCCTCCAGGAATACATGAGGTTTACCAAGTGCCAAAGATTTTAAATTAGACGTGGCTGCCGAGTTCCCTTTAAGGACTTTGCTTTAAGAGCTGTCATGTTTTACCAGCAGCTTTCTAAGATTAGCAATCAGAAACAAAACATGAGCCTAAAACGGGGCAGCGAGTATGTTTTGTGGTGTGCTTAACAGCCACCCCCTTAGGTTATTGCTCCTAGATATTTAAAAGTTGCAAAGCAAACGCATAGGTCCCTCAGCAACTTGGTTTTCCTGTTGGTTAGCACACACAGACCCGCTCTGCGCTTTTTTCCGGAGCTGCAAGGAACCATTTTTGTAGGAGGTTATGTTAAAACACTGCCAGTGCCTGCACATTAGGCACCTCCCGTGATTTGTCTTGGCTGCTGAGGCTGAGCTGCAGGCACTGCTGGGGGGTGGCAGGTTCAAGAGGAGAAACCATCAGGACAGCCCTCGGAGGAGCTGCTGAGGGATTTGAGGCAAATGTCAGAGCATCCCACTGAGAGCTGACCCCAGATAAGCTTTGTTCTTGGTTGAGAACAGGGGCACTGCTTTTCACTGGAGGTGTATTTGCTGTTTAGATTAATTTAGCTCAAAACCTTGTAGTTTATGTAAGTTCAGCAGTTGCAGTGCATGTGGTTATTTTTGTATCATTTGAAACTTAGGGAAAAAAAAAAGCCCACAAAACTAATTAGAAATAGCTTATTTCACTTTACTTATTTTTTTATATATGTATATATGTAAGCAAGCTTTTGTGTATGTCTCACTGTTGTCTTTCCTACAGTGAAAATTACCTTAGACTTAGGCGTGTACTGTCTTGAATTAAAATGCATTCCTAAATCAGGCCTCCAAAGGATTAATCTGGAATAATGGGATCATTAGGATTTGGTTCAAAGCGCTGTTTTAACTCAAGAATGTTTCATTCCGTACTCTTTTGTTTGCAGATAAATCACTTGTTGTTCAAGAAGGCTGTTGTTAAGCAATGATTTTTGTGAACAGATTGCCTGTTTGCTAGCACACTTACCTTACTGTCTTTCCCATAGACTCTGTGCAGTCAGATCTGCTTCACAAGTACCAGAGCAAAGATGACATCCTCATCCTGACCGTGCGCTTGGCTGTGATCGTTGCGGTGATCCTCACGGTGCCGGTGCTGTTTTTCACTGTAAGTAGAAAAGCTCCTCACGGTTTGGCAGTCGGTAACAGCTGTACGCGGCGGCGCGTTCCTTCAAACCACAGACCAGCAATTGCAGAGACAGTGATGTGACGGCTACAAAAAGAGCTTGAGCTGGGATCAGTCTTTTCCTACACCAGACTCCCACCAACTTCTGGAGAAGTTCTCCCTGCAGGAAATAAATTAATCGCTTTTTGGTCTTAAATCTGGTTTAAATTGAATCCACAAGTGCCACCTTTTACTTCACATTACTTCACTGGAGCAGGCTCAGAGGTGAAGTTCATTTTTAAGTGCAGAAGGATCCCAAAGGCACATTGGAAAGAGAGGAATATCCTGCTGCGGATGCATGTATAGCTATAGTTTTGAAAAATCAAGTTGATTTTAAGGATTTTTTCAAAGGATGTTACATCAGAGGCCCCAGAATTTCTGACAGATCTATGCAGCACTTGTTGGCACGTGAAGAACTAGTTAAAATAAACATGGGAAGCTTTGAATTGGCTTGTAGACTGTTCCTGACAGAGAACTCTTTCTCTCTCTTCTTACAGGTGCGTTCATCATTATTTGAGCTGGCTAGAAAAACAAAATTTGACTTATGCCGTCATGTTTTGGTTACTGTTGTTCTTCTGGTTATCATCAACCTGCTAGTCATTTTTATCCCAACCATGAAGGATATTTTTGGAGTTGTAGGTACAGTATCCTGGTTTTTTGTACTATTAATAGAAGTCTGTTGCTAATCAGCAACACAATAATTAGCTGTTGCTGACAGCTAACAAGACTCATTTATTTCAATTTTGCAGGGGTCACTTCTGCCAACATGCTGATTTTCATTCTTCCGTCATCGTTGTATTTAAAAATTAAACAGCAGGATGGATCAAAGTTGACTCAGAGGATTTGGGTATGCATTCCTTTCCCGTCAGCACAACTCTTTCGTCTTATCATTGCTTGCAACATGCTAGATGCAAAGCGAACCTTATCTGAACATATGTGTGAGCTGGTTTACGTTACTTTCCCTCCTTATTGCAGTCAGTTGTCAGCCGTGCTTGTTGTCCTTCCCCTCTGCTCACCCTGGGTGTCTCCTGGCGAAGGGGCCATACCACGCAGGACACTGTGTGTTCTGGGGGACCCTTCCCTGTGGGGCAAGGGGCTCTTTTCCTGGCTGGCAAGCAGCAGCCGTAGCTGTCAGCAGGGTACAGATACCCCTCCAGCCCGCTTCAGCAAACCTTTCAGCCCAGCAAGCTTCCTCCATTTCCGTGTGTTGATCGAGAAAACGTGCAAAGCACTCTGTGGTATTCCACATGGTTTTAATGGACCTGAGTCAGACTTAGGGTGCTTCCAGCAGAAGCAGCCAGCTGAAATGCTAGTCCTCTGGCATGCATGAGCAAATGGGAATGGCCTTGGAAAGATCTCCTGTAAGTCCCAGAAGGAGCTGTAGCTGAGAAGATGCAACACTCCTGTGTATTCCCAGTCTAACAGGGTGTGCACTGGAAGCGTCATAAGGTCAGACCTTCCTGCCCTGAGCAGAGAGGCAGGAAACCCATGTTTCACTTGTGGATCCATCCACAGACTCCAAGAAAAAAGGGCTGAACTTCGATGGGCACATATTGAACACATGCTGGACTCTTCCAGTGGGAAGAATATATGTATTTCTGTGAGGCTTTGCAAAGAGCAGAGCCAGTCGGTCCTAAAAACAATCTCACTTAATCCTCTTCAGGGATGATCAGTGCTTAAGAAGTGAATTGAAGGGAGAAAAAAATTGGGTTTGGTGTTCAGTGAGTAATGATAAATGATGCTAATCTGTTTAATTATCTATGAGTCTTGTCTCTACCAGAAATGCTATCCCATTTTAGCTGATAACTTTGATACATCACCCTGTAAATCTCCTTAAGTTAACATGGTTGAATTAATTGTCTTTTCTTGTAATTCATTAATTTTCTCTCCTTTTTGTTTCAGGCTTCTCTTTTCTTGGCACTGGGGGTATTGTTTTCCCTAGTGAGCATTCCCTTGGTCATCTATGACTGGGTACAATCAGGAGGCAGTACTGAAGGCCACTGAAGTTCACCTCCTTCTGAAGATACCCCTGTTTGCTACACACCAAAATCGCAACCATCCGTTCTGTTATCTATCCCATCTTTTGTGAGTTTACTCAAATCAAATCCAAATAATGATTATCCAGTACTGAAAATACTGTTCGAAAACAGACCCGTTTTCCCATCACTCTGTCCCCCAGTACTGTGTTACCAGATCAGCACTGAGTCTGTGTTAATTGTCTGTAAGACCGTATAGAGCATTGCTCATAGGAATTCATCACAATTAATTTGTTTCCCCAATTCCACCCATGAAATTGCATTGTTCCTTTATTATCCTTAGCCCTTCAGCCATAAGCTCTGCTCTTTTAGAGCAGCAGTGCCTGTTGTTATCAATCCCAACTGGAGTCATGTCCTCTCACACCCTTTCCCTCCTGTCTTTTAGCCAGAACGCTGCTCTCCAACTGTACCCATCTGGTTTGTCAGTTTGTTGGTTTGTTCTGTTGCTGTTTCATGCACTATTTGCCTCACTGGCTTAAGTGTAGCATTCTGGATACGTGCACAAAAAGCACTATGAGAGCATAAATTAGTGTTTTATAAGCATAGGTCCTAAATTTGGTGCTTCTCTCTGATGTTCTGGCAGGGAAACCAGCCCCAGGGCTTGGCCCTTTTGTGGTTTTGGGGAACAGACCTGTATGTATGTGTGTGTCTTTGTAACAGGGTGCAGGGAGCAGGAAAAAGAGCCACCAAGACGCTCCCCTTGCACACTTCACTTGGAGCCTGACTAGAACTAGACTTGATCCCAAACTATGAGTACTTGAGCTCGGAGATTTCCATAGGAAGTCTGTGCTTTCTTCAGCATTAAGCTGTTTACTAATGCCCCACATCCCTCAGAAAAAAAAAAGAAAAAAAGAGACAAGCTCCAGTTTTATCAAAACCTACGCATTTGATCATACCTCATGTCTTTTCCATTCTGGGATTCATGTGTACATACCTTGTTGAGATAGGCTCCTCCCTTGTGTCTTACCCTACTCCCACTTAAGTCATCGGGGGTTTTGACAGCAGTGGGAGCAGGGTTTGACTCACCCTGCCACACTGCTGGATTTCTAATGGAAATTGAAATCTGTAACATTTGTTTAAAAAAAAAAAAAACAGAAACACTTTTTATATTTAAAATGTTTCATTTACATTTCTCATTGATTCTCCGTAGCAGTTAAAGACATTCAATTACTACTAGCAGAAACACTGTAACCTGCATCTGTTGTCCACATTGCCTAATGCCTTATAGCTAGTGTAGAGAACTACTTGTAGAGACTCAAATGCTAAGCAGGTGATTGTTACCCATCCTGAGCAGACATCTTCTGTTAGTGCACTGCCAGCAGCATAAACGTGTTCACTTTGTGTCATTCACCATGTGAGCTAAAAAGTGTCTCAAAATATGAACCCAGCTTCCACTGGAAGAACCGATGGCTAAAGGGAGCCCTGCTTCATGCCTGAGGGTGGAGTGATGCCCTCGGAATGCTTGAGCCATATCTGCCAGTATGCAGTGACCCTCTTGTTCCCAGTAGCTGGTTCATTGCTGACTCCCATTGTAACTGTGGAAGGAGACTGTCATCAGCTGTGGGGAACCTGTCATTGCAGCTTGCTCTTTTTAAGGTTAGGGATGAAGAAAGAATTTGGGGTCTTGGGATTTCTGTGAGCTCTTGAATTGCCTCAGTTGCCATTGCCTTGTTCTGCATGGCTTGAAGTCACTGAGAGACCACAGAACACTTCTCAGGACCTTGAAAGTTGACTTCTAAGAGTAACATCCAGAGAGGTTAGTCTGGGGCCTTCTTTGGAATATGGGCATCAAGGTGCAGAATGTTCATGCTGCAGAAACTAAGCCTAATAAAACCAGACTTGTAGAGCTGTACCTCACCTTAGGGAGCGAGGTGCCCAGCTCTGCCAGTACTCCACTGTGATCCAGAAATACGGCAGAGTGGCCTCACAGGCAGCCCAAGTCCTCAGAGTAGCTCAGCAGCAAGAACAAAACTGGAAGCCTCCTCCCTTGGATCAAAGTGACCTGGTAGACTGCAGAGTGGAGTTTCCTTATTCTCTCTTCCTCTGGCCCTCAGACCTTCACTGACAGGCTCACAGCAAGGTCCCCAGCGCAGCATCCCTCCTCCCAAGTACCCCACAGCCCAGCATTTAACACACAAACTGCTGAGATACCTGGGACCCCTGGGCTAAGGTCCAAGCTTTCCTGCAGCTGGTCTCAGACCCTTGCCTGCGATGGTGCAAGTCGCCAGTTCTCTCTGTGCTGACTCCTTATGAGACTGATCCCTGACATTATTCCCAGAGAAGTCCATACCACAGCCTACGAGGCCAGGTATTCAAGCTCTGGGGAGAAGAACCTGCGCTTGGTTCCTATCTCCTTGCAGCTCATTCCAGGCATCTTCCCAGCTCAGGATGTAAGTTTGTGGCTCCCCTTTTGCAGGCATCCAACACTCCATGGTCACTGCAGCAGGAGCCCAGCATCTCACTCTGTTCTCTGACTCAGCTTGCTGGGGTCGCATTTCAGGTTTTGAGGTGCCTTATAATCTCTCTGGATCTTATCCTGAAAAACCTAACTCAGACCTGAGAAGGCTGTACAGTGTTATCCTCAAGATGCTCCAGGGCTCTCCTGCTTTCCTCCCCTCTTCATCCTTCTACTACTGATTTATGAGCAGAGCAGCTCTGTGCATAGAGGGATTGTGAGAGAGAAGATCCTTGGAGCAACTTTCAAGTACCCATGTGTGAGCTAGAGGTCTGATCTGCTGCATGGGTCACAACTGTGACACCTCCTTCCCACATTCCCCCAGATGGTCTGTAGTCCCCTTTTTAGAATACCAACCATTGAGTTTTAGCACCCAGCCTCCTTCAGCTTGAAGGGCTGTTGGGTAACTGATTGCTCCTTGCATCTTCCCAAATTTCCTCCATCACTATCCCTCTCGCTGTTTGCTGTTCTGCCTTCTCCTTTTTCCCAGTTTATTTGTATATGGGAGTTTTACTGGATAAACAGGGAGAAGAGTGAGCTGGGCTATCAAAGTATATCTTAGATACTGAAAAATAGACACCCAAAATACTGAGTCTTTGACAGACTTTGCTTCTGGGTCTCTGAAAAAAAAAAAAATAAAAGAGGGAATTTTGCTGAGACTGATTTACTGGCATCATATTTATAGATATTTATGGAAAGGAATCATGTGTTTATTGATGTCTGTGGTAATGAACGTGAAATAACGTGCTTTTTGTTTTCTCATCAGGTTTATACATTCTTAACAGAATGCAATAGACCCTGCTGTAACTGTCAACATCAGTGATGGATGACAATATTTGTATGAGGTTATCTGTAAAATGTACTGCTGTTATTCAGTTCATTTGGAATAGTGAACTTGTAGCCAACAATGTACGAGTCCCACATTTTAGCTAGGATTTTAAGAGCACAGTGAAATGCTGTAGGAGTTTCTCTGTTGTTAAATTAATAGGATACAGAGTACCGTATCTACTTAGTAGGTGGTAGCATGCTTTCTTTTCATAGAGAGTTTATCACTATCGTGAGCACTGCAAATGTCATAGACTGGATGGAAAACTGCTCCTAATAACTCCAACAAAATAGTTTTTAATTCTCATTTGCGTAATAGCGACAGTTGAGTGGTAAGGGACAAGGAAGGACTAATTAGAAGCAGGGGCTCCTAAGAAGATCATAGGTGTTAATCCTACACTTAAAAGACGGCCTTGGTGCCTCTTCTAGTCCACAGCACATTGCAAAGAAAATAGTCATGAGCTTAAAGCACCCTGACGGTTGCAGAATACAGCTGCCCTTCTCTGATGGCAAACACGCCTAGTAAGTAAAACACAGTAAATTGTTATTCGGGAACAGCATCTCGGGAGCAGTGACCTCTCTGGGTGATGCTTGCTCCTGGTCAGAGGGCCAATGCCAAATCCATGCACTGGCACAGACCTTTTAGGGCTGAGATGGGCTGAGTGGTGCCTGGCCCAGGGCAGGGCAGCCAGTCTCACGCTGCGAGGTCAGGGGTTGGGATGCCCATCCACTCCTGAGGGCTGCTTTCCTGAGCCACGTACCAACCGACAGCTTGTGCTCTGTTTGCAACAGGTCACACGTGCAAATGCAGGTTGGATGATACATGGGTTGAGTCTGTACATCTGCCTTACAGTGCATAAGCACCACATCTCTTTCTGATATCAAGTATTAACAGTAACAATTAATGGTATCTCTAGCTTATCTTTAAATGAGTAAGTTTCTTTGCTTGAACCTTACATTAAGGCTGAAGAGCATTTTGGTCAAAACTAAACTCTTTCCATGTGGTGGTATCCCACCTCCAGTCCTACCGTCCCACCCCAGTGCCTACAGGAGAAAGGCACAGCAGAATGTACTCAGCTCTATCAGCAGCTCCACGAGATGCTTTATCGCCTGGCGCCAGGGTGCTTTCTTAAACAATTCCCCAGAGCCCTTGGCATCAGGAAAATCCTTATTTCCTAAAACTTACACAAAGAATGTTTTATTTGTATCTAATGTAAGGATTTCTGTAACAAACTGTGAAAAAAAAAAAAAGATAATTAATAAAAAAGTACAGGGCTGGAAAGGTCTAGAATTCACGAATTGTACACATGCCTATGTTACTGAAGACAAATCTATGCAGTTGTGTTGTATTGTAGGAAATTTCATTTTTATGTACATATATATATTGTAAATAAATAGGATGCTGTATATTTTTGCAGTTGTTTATCCCCTATGATATAGAAGTGTTGAGATAGGCTCTGCATATTAAAAATAATTTTAATAGAAATACAAATACTTTAGCTTCCAACTTAGCAAAATGTATCCTTTCCTTTTTCCCAAGAGATCACATGTTAAATCCTAAACTTGTAATTATAATTACATCACTAATGTAATAAGAAAAGAGAAATAAAAGCTCCAGTGAAATTGTTAGGATTAATTCCAGTGCACGACTCCCTGTTTTGTCAACAGCAAGTTAGCCAATCTTCCTGCTGGGTAAGATATCTCCCTTGTAAAAGGCCCCTTAGGTACCCAGCTACCTCTTACCTCTTCAGCTGAGGTTAATTGGTAGTAAAGTGCTGAAAAAGCTTTATGAAGAAACCAGAGCAAACTGCAAACAGCAGTTTGACCCAGCATTATGCCATGTTGTATCCAGGCATGTATTTACCTGACCAGTACAAACAGAAGTCAGGGCAGGACTTGGGCATTTCCATTTTCAGCCACCAGAAAGGCCT